CAAGATTTTAATTCTTGCCCACACAACAAATTTTTCGCCTAAAAAAAAGGTTGTTGCTGCGTTGAGATTTAAAATTAACACGAATATAAAAATACTTTTTAATTGTCTAAAATATTTCTAATCCTTGACGTACGCAATTATTTATTTAAATAACTTGAAACTCTCAGTGTGAACAATCTTACATTGTTTTAAAAAGAAATTGTTAGTGTTACGTTGTGGGACTTAATCCAGGCATTCATAATGCTAATTTTAAAATGCACCCGTTCGATTACAAATATTAATAAAAAAACCGAACTTCACAATTCCAACCAAATATAAATAGTGAGCCAAGAACACCATCACCCTCATCAAAAAAATATGAAAAATTGACTTCTTCTGATTTTCTTCTTCTTCTTCCTCTCAATTGAAGTGCATACCTCCATTAATGGATACCTTTTTCATCAGCCATGGATCACCGAGACTTCTGATCACTGATAGGCCAGCGAGGCGCTTCCTAGAGTCATGGAAGTCAAATAATTTAGATGTGACGCCTAAGGCTATTTTGGTAATATCCGCCCACTGGGAGACTACTGAGCCAACCGTGAACGTCATTAATGGCGTTAATGACACCATACATGACTTCTACAACTTCCCAAAACATTTTTATGAGGTTGCTCTTCTTTGATAAATTCTTTTATTTCTTCGTATTAGTAATTTGTTAAAGAAGATTTGAGCATGTATTTAACCTGTCTTCGAATGGCATCAAAAGTAACAACAAAGCTAACATTAGAATTTGCATCAGGATTGCACAGGGAAACGGGAATGAGTATCAAAATTTACACATGATTTGAGACTCAAATCTCCCTAAAGCTTCCATAATTTATCTAATTTGCATCAAAACTGTATGAAGAAAACAGCAGGAGCTAATAATGGTCATGTATGATTGATCTGCAGCTCAAGTATCCTGTCCCTGGGGCACCAGAACTAGCCCTGAGGGTGAAAGAATTGCTCCGAGATGCCGGCTTTAACAGTGTGGAGGAAGACAGAGCTCGTGGGCTCGACCATGGGGCCTGGGTCCCATTGATGCTCATGTACCCGGAAGCTAACATACCAGTATGCCAGCTTTCAGTTCAGTCTCACAAGGATGGAACATACCACTATAACATTGGTAAGGCATTGGCTCCACTCAGGGATGAAGGTATTCTCATTTTTGGATCAGGGAGTGCAACGCATAATCTAAAGTTGCTTGACCGGGATGATGTGGAAACACCCAATTGGGCTGTGGACTTTGATAATTGGCTCAAAGAGTCTCTCCTCAATGGAAGGTATACACATCTTTCTATCTTCATCAATTATTTTATCAGCTTCTTTGACATAAAAGGCTTTGTTTGGATTGAAGGAAAGGAAAGAAAATGGAATCTCAACAACAGAAAATCAGAATCAAATCAAAAGATCAAATGACTAGCCCAATTCTATTTGATTTCAGTGCCGTTTTTATTTTAGTGCTCCATAGACCAATTGGCTTAGTTTGGTTTAGATTTGGAGTTATAGAAAATGAATAAACTCGGTCTGAACTGAACTATGTTTTCAGATGATGCATCTGAAATATTCTTATATTAAAAAAAAAAA